GTGGAGGGGCCAGGCCGGGGACCCGTTTAGGAAATGGCGCCGAAGAGTTCGAACCTCGAACCTCGAGGATCGAGGCATCCTGGCCCTCGGGGGCCCTCGTCCTCGCCGCGGGCGGACGCGGCTCGGGAAACTGGCGCGTCTGAGACTCAGTCGGATTCCCTGGGCCCGTTTTGAAATTCTCGCCGAAGTTCGAAATTCGAAGCTCGAGGATCGAAGCCTCCTGGCCCTCGATGGCCTTCGTCGTCGCCGCGGCTGGACGCGGCTCGGGAAACTGGCGCGTCTGAGCCCCAGTGGGAGTCCCTGGACCCGTTTTGAAGTTCGCGCCGAAGTTCGAACTTCGAACCTCGAGGATCGAAACCTCCTGGCCCTCGAGGGCCCTCGTCGTCGCCGCGGCTTGACGCGGCTCGGAAAACTTGCGCGTCTGAACCCCAGTCAGGGCCCAGCCCGACAACAAGACAACAGATAGCATCAGAGATCCTGTTATACTTATTTCCTGTTATACTTATTTGCGCGGGAAGGCCCTGTGCACTGAATGCGCCAGAGGCCGTACAAGCGCCTTGGCACACAAATACACACAAGAATTCCGAACACGTCAGAGGCTGGAGTAATAGTAACAGACACTGAAGCAGGCATGCTTTCTCGGAAGGCACCCTCTTGGGCCCGAGTGGGCCCCCCTAGCAGCATTCAACCATGAACGCCCGCGCTGGGGTCGCCGCCGCGTCGATGCAATTCCGCGCCAGCCCCGCTATGTGGGGACTTCCAGGCTGCGAGCAAGTTGGATGACAAACTGTCTTTCCCCATCCTCCTCCTCCTCCTCCTCCTCCTCCTCCTCCTCCTCCTCCTCCTCCTCCTTATCCCCGCCATCGCGGTCTGTGATCACCGCGCCACGCCTGCGGTCAAGGCGCCATGCGTGTGAGCACCGGCGACCGCGGCGGCACACATGTGAGCGGGCGCTAGAGAACCACCAGCGTGCCTGCGAACGCCACAACGCGCGCGTATACAACAGCATGCCAAACCGTGTCGGCACCGAAAACGTTCGCGAGCAGCGCAACTCGTCCTCGAACACCCCGCACAAGCCTGCGTGTGCCATGGTAGCACACGAGAACCGCAGTGTACCTGTGAGCAGCACAGCATGCCTTCGGGCACCAGCATGTTAGGGGGGAAGGCCATAGAGCAAGACGACGACGACGACGACGACGACGACGACGACGTTTGCCGCCTGTTTCGGCCTCCGGAGGCCGTTTTCGGGCGCCGTCGACGACGACGATGGCGACGACGACGACGACGACGACGACAACGTTTTTCGCCTTTTTCGGACTCCGGAGGCCGTTTTTCGGGCGCCGTCGACGACGACGACGACGACGACGACGACGACGACGACGACGACGGCAACGAGACGACGACGACGACGACGACGACGACGACGTTGTTTTTGTGCCTTTGTCGGACTCCGGAGGCCGTTTTTCGGGCGCCGTCGACGACGACGACGACGATTCGAGTACAAGCGCAAAGCCCGCAAGCACCAGCATCGCGCATGCGAGCGCCGCAATGGCCTGCGAGCGCCCACAGTGCGCCTGCGACCACCACACCACAGTGCGCATGCCTTCGGGCACCAGCATGTTGGAGGGGAAGAC